CGCCAAGCTGGAAGAGAGACTTGGCCATGGAAATGATGGACGAAAGAAAGTAATGCTGTAATGCATGTATTTAATTCCGACGAAGTATATGAATCTATAACGAAATTGTGAATCCGCTTCTACGCGTGCATATCTTGACCGTACAGAATCCACACAATGTGATCCTGTCTACCCTAGCTGATGAGACTGTCAGTACCCGGTTAACAATCTCCAAAGTCCGTCACCCCCGCATCACACTTTCCCCGCACCAGAGTGTTTGACGGCCGCGGCCGTCGTACGGATGGGGGTAGTTGGCGCGGTAAAAGACGGGAGGATTCGAGTTGGGGAGGGGAGAGGAGGGGGTTGCGCCCAGAGATATCGTCTTTTGGGGGGGGGGGGGGGGGATTAAGCATTCCCGTCGCGGGGTGGCTGGTTGGCTGGGTTTATTCTCCGCAGCCTCCAACTGCCGGGTGTCTGTTTCTTCTTTCATATGTGTATCTATGTCTCTGTGTAAGTAATCTGCAAGTTAACGGGCGAAGCTTTTTCGAGAGACATCGGCTCGAGATTGACGTGGACGGGTAGTTGACAAGTCCGTTAGCTTGTTCCTCTCTGTCGGAACCGCGAGTGGACGGGTGGTATTCCGGGGAGTTCCCCTGCCATATCGCCGAGACTCTGACGATGACCTAGGCCATGTTGAAATCATTCAATGTTGTTTCTTCCAGATGGCAAGGGTAGTAGAACGACCCAGCCTGAAGCAACGAAACTAGAGACGAAGTCCGTCGTGCTAGAGACAGCCAGCAACGCTACCGGAGAGCTCAACGCAAAGTGGGTACAAATCCGTCGTGTCCATATTCTTACGTGACAAATGCCAGCAACGTTCGACTAAAAGCGGTCCCCTGCTTTGGTGTGTCTTTGGAAATCCGTCAGTATCTTTGACGGATAAACACATCCACAAGCCAGCATATGCAAACCTTCTCTCATTGCTTCAGCCTACTGCTCATGCTATCCACCTCACTCAATCTACGTAGTCCATTGGGTCAACAAATCCACAGCGGCCGGGTCTCCGCGATTGCGGGGACCCCACACAGCCATCACGGGCTCGAGGGGGATTAGAGCAACCGAGCAAGGTAGCATGCGCGAGATAGACAGAGACAGAGACCGAGGGAGATAGAATGGGCTGGGCCAAGAGCCCGGAGGTGGTGGAAGTGTCGTGGAGTAGTGCGGCTTTCTTGGGAGGATCCAATACCGTGGTTGTGCCAAGTCTGTACCTGGTAGTCCTTTTCGGGTTTGTACGCTTATGTGTCTCTTAGAGCCTCCCGTTAGTCTCGAATACCTTACTCCTACTTCACAGTCGTCCGACGCATACATATGAGCGAACATCTCGAGATAATTGCTTCACTTTCACTACTTCTTCTTTCCTCTCTTCTCTAGGCCAGAAGCATCCCCCTTTTCTTCCCTCTCCCCTCTCTTCCTCTACATCCCTCCAACTTCAATTCTCTTCTTTAAAGTGTCAAGTGTATCATATCGCAAACCGCCAAAGGCAACGGCCACACCTGGAAAACCTTAGCCGAGAAAAGACTTCAGACATATAGTTTGCCAAAAATGTCGACGACGGACAAGCCCGAAATCTCGTTTGTCGACGACAGGGAAGACGACGCCCAGTCCGACTCGGAGAAGGCGCCCGCGGTGCGGATAATCGACGATGTGCGTGTTCTGGGGCTCAGCGAGGACGATGCCGAGTTTTATGCCCATTTCACGCCGGAGCAGCGCAAGAAGACGATTCGCAAGGTACGTTTAGTATCTTGGATACCCCGGTATCCTCTAGCAACAACACGGTGATGGCTTTTGAAAAGAAGTAAGATTGGTGGCTGACCTGAGAAAAGATCGATGTCCGCTTGGTACCGATGCTTGCGGTTCTCTATCTCATCTCCCATCTCGACCGCGCCAACATTGGCAATGCCAAGATTGAAGGTCTGGCTGAGGATCTGAATCTCAGCGGTGTGCAGTGGAACATTGCCCTCAGTCTCTTCTTCGTTCCCTATGTTCTACTTGGTACGTTTCGCCTCCTTCCACCTAGGCTATACAGGTCTTCATACCCTAGTTCAATTTGTTAACTTCTTTGTAGAGGTCCCTAGCAACATCATCCTCAAAAAGTTCAACCGCCCATCCGTCTACCTCGGCACCCTCGTAACGATATGGGGCGTCATCATGACCTGCCACGGCGTCGTGAAGAACTTTGCCGGCCTTCTCAGCGTCCGCTTGCTTCTTGGCGTCTTTGAAGCCGGCTTCTACCCTGGTGCTGTTTACCTCTGCACCTTCTGGTACTTGCCGTTAGTAAACCACAACCTCTCTCTCTAGAGACACTCAACTGAAACCCCAAACAGTCGCGACCTGGCAGCCCGTATCGCCTGGTTCTACTGCACATCCGCCCTCTCCGGCGCCTTCTCAGGCCTCCTCGCCGCCGCAATCGCAAAGATGGACGGAGTAGGCGGCTACGAGGGTTGGCGCTGGATCTTTATCCTCGAGGGCATCTTCACCATCGGCCTCGGCATCGCCACCTTCTTCCTCCTCGTCGACCGCCCCTCGCTCAGCGGGAAGTGGCTTACGCCCGAAGAAATCCGCTTCCTCGAGATTCAGCACTTCATCAAGCAGGGGGGGCGATTCCAGGACGAGAAGCAAGAGGACAAGTTCAAGTGGCACGACCTCAAGGCCGTCGTCACGAACTGGCGGCTGTACATGCAGGCGTGGGCGCTCCTCGCCACCTCGGCGTGTTCTTATGGTACCAAGTTTACGTTGCCGACCATCACGAAGGCAATGGGCTTCAATAACACCGCCGCGCAGCTCATGACGGTCCCGCCGTACTTTTGCGGTGCTGCTTCCGCCATCTTCTTTGCCCGCTTGTCGGACAGATTCTACTGGCGCATGCCCTTCGTCGCGATCCCCATGGGTCTGATCACCATCGGCTACGGCGTCATCATCTCCTTCAAGGGCGATCTCTCTGGTAACATTGCCGGCGCCATGGTCGGCGTCATCATTACCTGCATGGGTATCTACCCCATCCAGCCCGCGGGTTCCTCCTGGGCGGCGAATAACCTCGCCCCGGCCTCGCGCCGCGCCATTGGTGTGGCGTTCAACATTTGCGTGGGCAACATTGGAGGTATCATCGGGAGCTACATGTACCTCGACAACGAGAAGCCTAAGTACTACACTGGTTTTGGGCTGTCGCTGGCGTTTGGCGGTAGCGGGTTGATTGTCGCGCTATTGCTGGAGTGGAGCTACAAGTGGGGGAATGATAGGAAGGCCAAGATGTCCGAGGAGGAGATTCGGGCAAAGTACACGGAACAGCAGCTTATGGATATGGGCGACAAGAGCCCTCACTTCAAGTACACTCTGTAAGAGCAGTGCGATGGTGTTGTAGGGTGGATGTACTACGAGTGGCACAGACTGGGCCTTGGTGGCCGGTTCGATGGCTGGGGACGCAATGTTGGGTGAGGCGTGCGAGGATGTTCTTGACACTTATTATTTTCCCCGAGTAAATAGCGATTGTTGATGCCGATAATGAATAGCAATCCTTTCTGGCCCAAACATTTTGTCCCTGAATTACTAGTTAACTGTGGTATTTGTGTCGTACTTGTGTTACTTGAACCCTTCAAGGATCTGGCTGAGAGTTAGGAGTATAAAGTAGACCATGTTTGCCTACTGAAGACTTGAGCCTACCACAACTGCCCTTTCTTTAGCAGTCTGTAAGAATCCAATAACTTGCAACTACGTTGCCGGGAAAAATGAGATGAAAAGCAAGAGAATTCTCTTCAATCTGGCATGACAATGAATTGTATGCAACTATGATGATACTTGCGGAACTCAATTACTACGTTCACCAACTCCATCACACTAATGTGACGACATTTCTGCTGCGCCAAATTCATGCTTCTGATTATAAAAGAAATCAATCTGATGCTGTTGATGGTCGAGTGAGATGGTTGTCTGCATAGAATCGTCTCACATGGTCACTTCGTGGGCATCAGTTCATAACTGAACCGTGTAGACTCCATGTGCCGAGCATGTGCCTGCCAAGCTACACGAGCAACTTCTAGCTGCTACACCTCTTCAGTCTGATGTCCAACGACTGACTCGCTCTTGGCGCATGCCGAGAAATCCCGGTGGAATCCCTGACTCTTGAGAATTGTCAGCCTCTTTGTCGGCAATGATCGGTTGTAAGGAAGTATCGTGATGGACTGCAACTCTCATGCAGATGTTATCTTGGTAACCGGAAGACGTGCCGAACAAGTCAGATGCGGAACTCAACAGGTGATACTGGCGGTTTGAGGATTCTACATAGTACTTACTCATCCGTGCTTTCAACTGTTACATCACGTTGATAATTGCCGCACGGCGTCTTCTGATGACGGGGAAACTCGGGCTCACCCCCATCCTCTGGTTCATCTCCCTCAGAAATCCTAAGAATCCGCCTCGGTGTCGGATCTAGCAGCACCCCGGACCACCCCGAGTCTATCGCACACCCACGAACCGAACACGCAGCAACGGTCAAATCAACAAATGAGGAAGACTATGTGCCCCCCAGTGCTTCCCCCGCAGCAAAGATGAGGAGGAAGCGGGGGAAAAGATACCCTTGTCCCTGGTCGTCGTAGCGGCCCCCGCCTCCCCCAAGTCAGGAACTCTTGTCTTTCCCCAGACAAATCCCCTCCGTTTTCCGTCGATTCGCACCCAGTTTCCTGTCCCATCTCTCTTCCTTCTTTTCCGACTTTCCATTCAGTCCCTCCCTCCTCGAGGCTCGAACGCTTTCCCGCCTTAAGGTAACCCGCCCATTCACCTGAGCGCAACGCGCGGGCGTAAACGCGTGCGTGCGTTTTCGTCGCTCCACTGGGGACACTGCGCATAAGCAGACAAATCAGAAAAGCAAAAAGCCAAGATAACGGGAAAAAGGAGAGAGCAGAGGGGAGTGAGTGGACCCTTGCGAAAGTCCGTCGACTCCTCCGTCGTGTCGCGTTTGCCTCCCGGCCATGGACGCCCCGGAGTACCGCCGTCCTCTGCCCGGGCCGGGAAGTCCGGCTCTCGATGGCCGTCACTCCTCATCGGCCGGCTCAGCCGCCGCAGCCAGCAGTCCCCGTGGAGACTCACGGAAAAGAAGCTTCAGCTCCGCCGCCGATCAGCACTCGCCTCTGTCCGATGAGTTGGTCGGGACTGGGTCTTCCTCCTCCGCTGCCGCCGCCGCTGCAGCGAATCGCCGCAAATTGCAGAAAGTCAGCCGCGCGTGCGACTTTTGTAAGCAGCGCAAGGCGAGGTGCAGCGGGACTATCCCCTGCGACAAGTGTACCAGAAAGGGCCTCACGTGCGTCTACGATGCAAAGTACTCCCGCGGGCGCCCACCGACACCTCCGCCCTCGGCTGTGTGGTCTACAGGCTCCAACGCCGTATCCGGATCCGAGGAGCCGCCTGTTGTCATGTACCGAACTACTGAAGAGGGAGGCGGAGAACACGTCGCTGCACCGGCCGCACCGTCGCGTTCGTTGAGAGGACATGTACGCGAGAGCCAGGGTCCGGCGTCGCGGGCCTCGCCCGAACTCGGTATGGCTGAGATCCAGGGCCAGATCTTTGACCCGACGTCGGGCGTGACTTTCTTGCACAGGGCGTGGAAGCGGCTCTCGAAACATGAGAGTAACATCGTCCCGGACGAGCTCAGCGCCTCAACCGAGAGCCAGCCACTCATGCTGGCTGGTGATAAGCCGCTACCCCCTGTTACTGACGAGGATGTGGCCAACTTGTCGCTGCCGGATTCCAGAGAGATTCAAGATCTACTGGCGCTGTACTTTGATGTATCTATCGCGACCTACCGCGTCCTGCACCGACCTTCCGTAGAGGCATGGCTAAAGACCATGATCAACAACCTTCGCCACGGGAAAGCCGTCTGGCAGGACATTGGCCGGGGTAAAGCGTCGATTGTCCTCACGGCGCTTGCCATTGCCACCGCTCACAACGAAAAGTCCAAGGGGTTTCACTCGCCGGAAGGCGAGGCTTTATCCCTGGCTCGGAGTGACCAACTCTTCTGCGTCGCCTTGCAGCTCACAGAGCGTGAGACGGGGCTCCCTCGGCTGGAGTCAGCCCAGTCACGCTTGATACAGGTTCTCTACCTCCTCACCACGTCGCGCATGAACCGTGCCTGGTACACCTTTGGAAACGCGCTTCAGATCATATCTGCGCTGGGTATGCACCGAAAGGCGGCTAAGAAACGGCACTTGACACCGGGCAACTCGGATTATATCCAGGCGCAGTGTCGTATGCGGACATTCTGGACCAGCTATGTTCTAGACAAGTACCTGGGCGTCATATTCGGCCGTCCACGTCACTTTCACGACGATGATATCGACCAAGACTACCCGGATAGGATCGACGACGAGGATATGACTGTACAAGGACCCATTGAGAGATCGGAAGAACATTCAGACTGTCACATTGACGCGCTGATATTCCACGCCAAGTAAGTGAGCCCCATATCTGTTCATACTGCGTACGTGCTGACATATGACAGAATTGCACAAATAATCGGAAACACATCGAGAGAAGTCTACTCAATAAAAGCCATCTCAGAACAAGAGCGCGTCGCCGCCGCACACCGCCTCAGCAAAAAGATCCACGAATGGCGCGCCAGTCTCCCGCCTCACCTCGGATCGATCCGCCCCTCCATGCTGATCCCAAGTTTCCGTCGCCAAGCAACGGTCCTTAAGCTGGCCTACTCCCACGCCATCATGCACGCGAACCGCCTCTTTCTTCTGGGCAACTTGAGCTCCGGCAGCGAGACGCAGATCCTAGAGTGCATTGGCGCAGCGAGGACGGTGCTCGAGACAGTCGACGGCATGGCCGCTGAGGGTCCCATCTTCCACGCCTTTTGGTGGACGCAGTATGTCACGTTCTGCGCTCTACTAGTCACGTATGTTTGGGATATCCAGCAGAAGCGGCGAGGCATTACGCTCGAGGGTGAAGGCAAGGTAAAGCATACTAAGCTCATGGACTTGGCTGAGCGGTGCCAGACGCATCTTGCTCACGCCACGGCTACCAACTCACCGAGTCGCCGATACGCCATCATCCTGGAAGAATTCAGGACAGAGGGACTCGGCCAGATGTCACGGCAAACACAGGTAGCTTCACAGGCGCCCCGGACTTCTGCACCTCGACTGGCTGCGCCGTCTGCGGATGCTCACGTGCCGCCCCCGCAGGCGAATGGAGGCAATGGGGGAGCTTCGATGGCGGCCGACGGATTCGACTTTAACCATGCGTATGATGCCGAGTCTGGCCCCGTTGATCTTATGGACCAGGGCGATGCAGGGTTCCTTGGTTCTAACTTGCTTGATGAGTGGCAGACAACTGATTGGCTAGACCTCGACTCTTCTGCCTTCGGCCCATACCTGGACATTGATTCAAATCCGTTGGCTTGGATGCCGGATATAGGCGGCTAGGTCTCAAGGCTTAAATACAGTCTATAATATTTGCATTGGATCTATGTCTTCTAAATGGTGAACTTTGTCAAGTTCTCAGGGCCCGTTTCCTGTGCCACTCGCTTGACCTCCTCCTCTCCCAACTCCTGGAAGATATCGAACCCCCATCTCGTCTGCCAGTTGAACCTCTTGTTCCTCTCTAGCCCGTTCAACTGCGCAAACGCATCCGCAGGCAACTCCTGCACCTTGAAGTTGGACTCTATCCGGCCAGGAGTAACACTCTTGGGCAGAACAACAGTGCCGCGCTGCACGCCCCACGAGGCAAGCAGTTGGCCGCCGTCAATGCCGAGCTTCTTGCCCAGCTCACCCACAAGAGGGTCGTCCACCGTCCTCGGCTCGCCCGTCTGGTTGTTGCCCAGAGGCGAGTAGGCGGCCAGCTGGATGCCCTTTGACTTGCAGAACTCAAGCAGGTCTGGTTGTTGGAGATACGGGTGCGCCTCGATCTGGTTGACGGCGGGTACCGTCTTGGTCTTTGTAAGAAGGTCTTCGATGCGCTGCTTGGTGAAGTTGGAGACGCCGATGGCGCGGACCTTGCCGCTTTGGACCAGCTTCTCCATGGCTGCCCACGTTTCCGCGGGGTCAATGTCGGCCAGCTCAAAGACGCCGTTGGAGTCAATGGGAAACCACTTATCCGACGGCTTGAATGCTCTGTATTTTTGGTCAGTACATACATTATCTGTGTGTCGTCTGGCATGATTGCGGGCACAGAGGAGCAAAGAATGAGACTCACACCGGCCAGTGCATCAGGAACAAATCAAGGTAATCAGTCCCCAAGTCCTTCAGTGTCTTGTCAACACCGGACTCGACATCTTCTGGTGCGTGCTTGGTGTTCCACAGCTTTCCAGTAACAAAGATCTCTGAGCGCGGTACGCCGCTCTTGCGAATGCCCTCACCAACTTCCGCCTCGTTGCGGTAGATGGCGGCGCAGTCGATGTGACGGTAGCCGGAGCGCAGGGCTGTCTCAACAGCACGCTCAACCTCGTGAGGCCCAGCCTGCCAGGTGCCGAATCCCACTGCTGGGATCTTTGCACCGGTGTTGAGAGTGAAGTGCGTTGCGAGAGGCATCTCGAGAGAGAGACTGTAAGTGTGTATGTGCAGGGATTAATGGTGTTTATCCGTGGCTGGTATGAATGCAACTCTTGAACTTTACACAACTCAAGCTGCAAGTATCAAATGATGTGCCCAAAATAGGTGACATGATGGAAAGATCGAGCAGATAATAAATCGGTTTCAGCCACTCTGCCATTGATACCGCGAGCAAGACTTGTGGCTCCCCAAAGACTCCATCATCACCAAGTCCGTAGTTGTGGTTTAGACTGACGGATTCTTATCCTCGAAGCTAGTCACACCCTTGTTGAATCCGTCCAAACCCGTTGGCGGAGCACTCGAAATCCGCCAACTAACCCCAGCAATGAGCGGGGAAACGGATTCATATCTCCCCCACCAACGGAGACCCTCCTCCAGGTTTCTGTCCCGCCTCGATCGCCACCAAGCGTGGTCCACTCGGATGGGCGTCAGGCAGGGTACCAGCATGGCGGAAGTTGAGGAATTCACATCATCGGCTTCGGAACAATGACGGTCTTGCCTGGGCCGCGGAGCCGTTCACCATCTCTCAAAAGGGTGGCACATGAACCACTTATCAAGCCATCCACAACCTCAAAAGCAGGGTGGTCATCGATTCACCATCAACAATCCGGAGAACACTCATCGTCGACTTTGGATGAACCACCTGCAACATCATCCACCATGAGTCCCCCCTCAGTATACGGTCCCGCGAGCGCGGCGCTCCCGAGCTCCAGCTTGGACGCGAATCCCCTCGTTGACTCTGCCACCGTGCAGGACTTGGACAATGACGATTCCACTCTCAAGACTGTGGACGAGCTGGTCCGCAGGCGCGCTCGGTCGAATCCCGATCAAGTAATTGTCTCTTACCCTTCGTCGGGTATCACATACGTCGACTACACGATGAGGCAGCTCGACGTCTTTGCCTACCGTGTTGCAAAGTTCTATGAGCAGCGCATCCCTAGCCGCCTTAGCTCAGATGAGAAGCCCACGACAGTGGCCGTCCTTGGCCCTTCCAACTTTGACTACCTCGTCACCATGCTGGCCTTGACCAAGCTTGGACACACAACGCTCTTCTTGTCAACGAGAATCTCACAGGATGCCATCGAGTCTCTCATCAGCGTTACAGGCGCCAAGTTCCTGTTGGCTGACAAGAGGTACCTCGAGACGGCCGAAGGAGCCAAGCAGACTCTGCCTCATCTTGATGTTTTTGAGATTGCCGGCCAATTAACGTTCGACTTTCCCATCGAAGTCCACGCTGATACTCGTCTGGATTATGGTCGTGATCTCTCAGTTGAGACCAATAATCTGATCTACATCATTCACTCAAGTGGTAAGTTGGACTCCACGTATCGCCTCTTGAACACCACTGACAGCCATAGGCTCGACTGGCTTGCCCAAACCCATTTACCAGACGCAAAAGTCGGCCATCCACAACTACTCCAGCAGCATGAACATGAAGGCCTTCATCACACTGCCTCTGTACCACAACCATGGAATCTGTAATCTGTACCGCGCCATCTACTGCGGAAAGCCCATCCACCTGTACAACGCGGATCTCCCGTTGACCAGAGAGCACCTCACAAGCATCATGCGCAAGCACAACTTTGAAATCTTCTACGGCGTGCCCTACGCACTCAAGCTCCTCGCAGAGACAGACGAGGGCATGGACCTGCTCCGCCAGCTCAAGATCGTCATGTATGGCGGCTCCGCTTGCCCCGACGACCTCGGCGACACCCTCGTCAACAACGGCGTCAACCTCGTCGGCCACTACGGCGCAACTGAGGTCGGTCAGCTCATGACGTCCTTCCGCCCTCCTAATGACAAGGTTTGGAACTATGTCCGTGAGCACGAGAAGCTCGCGCCGTATCTTAAGTGGATTCCCCGCGGTCCGAACCTGTTTGAGTGCTGCGTCCTGCCTGGCTGGCCAGCCAAGGTGGCCTCGAACCAGGAGGATGGATCATACTGCACAAAGGATCTGTTCGAGCCTCACCCGACGATCCCCAAGGCGTGGAAATACATTGCCAGACTCGACGACACCATTGCGCTCGTCAACGGCGAGAAGTTCAACCCCGTCCACATGGAGGGCACAATTCGCTCCAACAAGAACATCACCGAGTGCGTCATCTTCGGTGTCGGTCGCCCCTCTCTCGGTGCCCTCGTCGTTCCGGCTGCGGCGCTGGCTGGCAAGAGCAATGACGAGATCCTTGATATTATTTGGCCCGTTGTCGAGAACGCGAGCAAGTCCGTCGAGGCTTACGCCCGTGTATCCAAGAACATGATCAAGCTTCTCCCTTACGACTGCGAGTACCCTAGGACGGACAAGGGCAGCGTCATTCGTCAGGCCTTTTATAAGCGGTACGCCAAGGACATTGACGAGGTCTACGACAACGCGGACGCAGCCAGCGGCGACTTGAAGAAGTTTAGCGTTCCTGAGCTGCAAGACTTCATTCGTCAGGGACTCGTCCAGACTCTTTCAAAGAAGGTCCAGCTGGATGACGATACCGACTTCTTCTCACTTGGTCTCGACTCCCTGCAGGCTATCCAGATGCGTTCCGATATCCTGAGGACAGTCGACATTGGCGACAACAAGCTTGGCCAGACTGTCGTGTTCGACCACCCTTCGATCAACAAGTTGAGCGCCTATCTTTACAGTCTCGGTACTGGAGAGGGCGTTCAGGCCGATGTTCCCATCGAGAGCGAGATGCAAGAGCTCATTGACAAGTACGGTAACTTTGGTCCTATCGAGTCGACTCCTCGATCCTCTGTTGTAAGTCAACACCCCAAGCAATAAATCTCTAGCATATCTTTACTAACCTCTTCATAGGCCGTCACCGGCGCAACTGGCTCTCTCGGAGCTCACATCGTCACCAAGCTTGCTGCCGACCCGACCATCAAGACCATCTACTGCTTCACCCGTGCCAGCTCCGACGCCGACGCAGCCCGCCGCGTCAAGAGCTCCCTCATCCAGCGCAGACTTTACCACGCCCTTCCCGCCTCCTCCCGCAGAAAGCTCGTCGCGCTGTCCACTGACCTCGCCGACGCCAAGCTCGGTCTCTCCGACGACTTGTACCGCCAGGTTAAGCAGGATCTCCGCCTCGTCATCCACGCCGCGTGGTCCGTCAACTTCAATATGCGCCTCTCGAGTTTCGCAAAGGGCAACATTGCCGGCGTCAACCACCTCATCTCACTCTGCAAGGCTGCCGGCGACGTCGAGACCGGAGCTTCGTCCCCTGCCGCGTTCAACTTCTGCTCCTCCGTCAGTACCGTTGCCCGCGCCACAACCATCCCTGTCCCCGAATCCGTCCCCGATCTCGAGTGGGCTCAGGGTATGGGATACGCCCAGTCCAAGGTCGTCGCCGAGCACCTCTGTGCCAAGGCAACGAAGGCCGGAATCAAGTCCCGCGTCCTGCGGATCGGCCAGATCGTCGCAGACACCCAGCACGGCGTCTGGAACGCAACGGAAGCGATCCCCCTCATGCTCCAAACGGCCATCACCGTTGGTGCCCTCCCCAAGCTCCAAGAGACGCCCTCTTGGCTGCCCGTCGACACCGTCGCGCAGGGCGTCATTGACATCTCCCTCTCCGACGCAGACGGCGTCTTCACCAACGTCGCGAACCCCAAGATGTTCAGCTGGACCGACGACCTCCTCCCCGCCCTCAAGGCCGCGGGTCTCGAGTTTGAAGAGGTTGAGCCCAAGGAGTGGATCCGTCGTCTGCGCGCCTCGAATCCGGATCCCGCTGCCAACCCGCCCATCAAGCTCGTCGACTTCTTCGCGTCAAAGTACGACAAGGACGAGTTCTCGCCGTCCAAGACGTACGTCACCGATAACGCCTGCTCCCTCTCGCCCGCGCTCGCTCAGGCGCCCGTGTTGGACCAGAAGCTTGTCGATAACTTTG